AAGCATTGAACCCATCCTCGACTGGCTTGAGAATAGGTAAAAGGTGCATAGGCTGGTAAGGCTTCACTATCCTCTTGCTGTTCTTTTTATCTTGGGTTAGCTTTAGCAAACGTTCACGACGCTCGACCATCTTGCCTGCAAAAACAAAAACAACATGCTTGAGTTAGTACCTCTAGAAAGACATGCCTAAAAAAAATTAAAAATGAAAGGCAGTAGAGTCACGCAAACAGAGACCCAAAAGAGTTGCGTCATCCCCGTAGGTACGACATTCAAAAAGTGTTTTGGTGTTGATCAGGAGGGCCTCAAACGTAGGTTCACCGTCCTCACTAAGGACGTCGTCTCCATCCCTCGTCATCCATCTGGAAGGGAAGAAATCATCAACTAATTTGTTGAGAATACCAAAGAGCCTCTCATCCTCGAAACTCATGCTGCCAGCAGAAGTATGATAGTGGTTAGGCCCGTGGTCGTAATGAGCCCAACACCAATGGATAGGAAACTTGGAGAGCCTCCCGACATTTGTGTTCCCATATTCATCGAGAAGAGCTTCCCTGTCCTCGTCGACAATTGAAACTGGGTCGAACACCGCATCCACTGCCTCTTGGGATGAGGGTTGCACGACATACCATTTGTCCTTGAAGTCACAGACATAGTCCATATACATCCTGAATAGTATCTTAGATTGCTTGAAAGAAATATAACTATGATTTCCTTCCTTAGACTTCCGTTGAAGGTGTAAAACCCTAAAGAACAAAGGAACCGTCGCCCTAATCCTTAGATATCGACAAGTGATCTCGAAAGCCTGTATAAAAGCGATCTCCTTTGGGTGCAGTTGAGAGGGTGCCAAGGACAAATGATTAAAGACGTATATTTGAAAGTCACTAAAGGAAAAATGAAGTCCCAAATCTATGAAGATAATATCATACACAGGGAAGCGGTCTTCCTAGAAAGTCGAGCATATTCTGGCCACAGGGGTCGAGCAAAAGATCATGAAATTTCTTATGAAACCTTCCTGGTCGCTGCCATATTCGACGACCATATATGCCTCCCTCCGAGTATTTCTAAAGACCGAGGCTATTCCTCGAGGCTCTGGCCTGACCCAGGACAATGACGAATCAGTGACAGTGTCGACCAAATGGAGACCCTCGCCGACTCCACTCGATTCCTCTATCTCGACTTGCTTGGCTGTCTCGAATGGTTCAACCATTTCACCAGTAAAGTATAGGAAACCAATGAATTCGACAGCTAAATGAAATCCACCCTTCCACCGCAACACAAGTGAAAGGGGGTTGCTACAATCAAACCATGTCGACGAACCCTTATTCAGCAAAAAGCAAACAAACTCACGAACGCCATGAGGATAATATGAATCTCTCGAGAAAACTCATGAATGCCACGAGGAGAAGATGAATTTCTCGAGCAAACCCATGAGTGTCGCGAGGAGGGGATGAATCCCCTGAGCCATTTCATGAGCTTTGCGAGGATCAGACGATTTTTACGAGCAAATTTGTGAGCTCTCAAAGGAGGGGTATAAATATCCCGAGGAAAATTCCCCCAGAAGTTGAAATTCATTAGGAAATCCATGAATCCTACGGGGAAAACCCTCCAGAAATTTCCACAAAATGCAAAAACGAACAATTGTAGAAAAACACTTACTTGGTTGACGTTGATATGAGTGTTGAGGTGGAAAGAACGGTGGTTCCCACAACAGAGAGGAAGACTGACGACAGTATAGAGAAAAGAGAGATTGATAACTTGGAAAAGTTGCAATTGATCTTTGGGACGCTATTTATAAAAGTTGGATGGAAAACGAAGCGTCGCATCGAGTAACATGTCAGTTATTCAATTCTTTGTTGCCCACACGTCCTGAGCCATAATGACCCTTACTCCATAGGTCATCATTCTACCCTAGAAACTACATTGCGTGATTCCCCTACAAAGGTTTGGCTCCCTGCGAGTCGAGGAATATGTTGATTGTCCCCGCCAACACATTTTGACTTCTATCTTGAAGGAACAAAGACCCCCGACGAGTTGGTCTTAAGTCATATATCCTCCCCTTAGGAGCAACGACTTGGGGGCTCCTGTTCTGATCTGGGCATGCGCTTGGCCCAAACAGCATACGAGGCCCAATTCAACCATGATGTAGGCGAAGGCCAGGAAGAATGAGGCTTCCCTTGACTATGTCGGGCAACGAATCCACCCTTGCGTTGAGGATATGCCCCCTAAGCCTTCCTCACCATAGGGTTGTCGAGGAGTGTTAACGGATCCCAAGAGGCCTTGACGGACACCCTCCTCGTAGAGCAAACGCCCATGTCTCCGAGTATCCCGGAGTTAACTTGACCCTAAAAATACCGTAACCACGTCCTCCTAGTAATTTAGAGCAGTCCACTCAGGAGGGAGACCACATACTGGTCTCCACTAATCACGTAGATCCTGACAGTCTTCATTTTGAATCTGCTCTGTCATCCCAATATGGGGATCTCGGCCCAACGCTGAGGACTATAAATTTCCTCTCACTTGAGAGGGTCAGGTATTAATTCATCCATTCATACTCTCATATTCTACTTGCACTTACTATGAACCTTAATTTGGCATCAAAGTGTCTTACAGGTACCCCCATTTCACCTGTCACCACTACTCGACTTGAAGCTCGTGGGCCTTGACAATCTCTTCTGATCTGGTACGATCAATACTATTAACAATATTCTGACACTAATTTATAAATGTATTAATCAATTTTTAGACTCCATTAACCAACTTTATTCAACTATCTAATATTTTTTATGTTTGAGAATTCATTAACTAATTTATGAATTGTATTAACCAGTTTTATAGTATGTACGGTATATATATTAAATTTTTTGTCAGAATATATATTAATCAAACTTTCTATTATATTATTCAATTTTTTATATACTATTAACCAAAATTATTTTAGAGTAAAAATTATAAAAAAATTAAAATAAAAAAAGTTATTGTTCATTGTATTTATGAATAGTAACTATGGTATTAGTGTAAAAATGATTGACAAAATATCATTACTCTTAGGTTAAACATACTAATACTCCTATTTTATTTAACGTTAAAGTAGATTTTAATTTCTACTTAAAAATTTGAATTTTTATCCTTTATTTTAACATTGGGGCAAAAATATCATTTTAAAAGGTTAAAAATCACTATATTAAATGTAAGCAATTATAATTTGGACTAAAGTATCAACAAATGGATGAAATTGAGATATTGAAACGCGTAGTTTAAATTAATAACAATAACAATTAAATTTTATCTCATTAGATATGTTAGTCTATATAAATTAATTTTTGTCATTATATTATATTGAATATCATATTTTTATCCAAATTATTAATTTTGAGATTTTTGTAAATAAATTCTCTTATAATTTTCTTGGGTCTTCTTCATTCTCAAATTATTTGTCTTCTCTCTATCCAATTAAATCTATTTACTATAGAATCTACATATTTTTTCTATACATACCCAAACTACATAATTCTATTTTTCATAATTTTCTCTATTATAGGCTAACCTGACACTCTCTAAAATAATTTCATTTATAATTTTATCATGTCGAGTTTTACTATACATCCACCGCAACATCATCATCTCTGTTACACTTATTATATGACTGTCTTTATCTTTAACCGTTCAACATTATGTCCCTTACAAAAATGCAGGTGTTATTGTAGACGATAACATTTTCCCTTTAGTTTGAGTGGTACATTTGCATCAAATAATTTAACATCGAAAGACTATCTATGATTGAGAATAAGCCATACCAACTAACAGAGATCTATAACCTAACTTATACAAACCTTAAGTGTATGATAAGCATAATCGTCTCATTTATCTAGAGACCTTGTGTAGATTATTTGAAACCATAACAAAATAAATAAAACTCCTATTTACTTTGGTTTAACTTCGACAAACATTTTATGAAAACCTATTTAATTATGATTTAATTATAACAAATTTTAAATCATATGCAATAACCACCCCGTACACTCTCAAAAACAACCATAAATTTTTATCAAGTAAGACCAAGCTTTAACAAAGTCTAATTCCATTCATCCTATCGTCACCGCCTAACTAAAATAAAATCCTTTTTAAAAAAATAATATTATAGAAAATTTTAATTTAAGTCTATAAAATTTATCCAATAAAGAAAGAATTATTAACAAGAAAGTATTCTAGTGAGGATTGTTAACATTTGTTCCTCAATTTATACTATTACATTAAAAACTCTTTAAATTAATACTTGATAAATTAATAAAATTTTTAAAATAATAAATTTGTCTGGTCCCGATTTGGACCAATGTAAAAAATTGAAAAATTTGATAAAATAATAAGATAATAACTTTTCGAGAGATCTCTTTATAATTTTCGGTCCCAAAAAAATCATAAATTAATAATTCATAGAAACTGAAAAAATATATTACACTCTATTAAAATATGATTCAATAGTTGTCTGTTTTTCTTTAAAATTCAAGTCTATTTGAAGCTCATCTCTAACTTTTCTTATTGCATCCAATAGCTCAGATGTTGTATTTTTGTATTGTATCATAAAGTTGTGAAGAGTGTTCGACGCCATAAGTATTTCTTTCGCGTAACAGACTTCAAAGACACCGTATCATCTTCGCCGCCATTCTCCTGATTGTTCTCAATATAGTACCCACAATATATTCTAAACTCTAAATCTCCGAACATATTTCATTTTCACCTAGATAGTTTATTAGATTGTCGATAACTAGTAAAAACTCTTTAAATTAATAATTATTAATTTATCAATAAATTAATAACTCTTTAAATTAATAAATTTCTCATGTCCTAACATTATTAATTTAAAGAGTTTATAATGTATTCAGATACATATCACATGTTGTCTCTCACATGCGTATAATATATAGCTATAAATAAATGATTCAGTAGTCATGCGAATCATTCATCCAAAAACTAAATAAAATATTACTTTACTTTGATTCTTAAAGATGAGAACTACTTTTGCCTTATGGCCTCTCTTGCTTCTCTTGGTATGTTATACTTTTCAATGCTGTTCGAAATTGTTATTTCATTCTATAACATACAAAATATATTACATGCTTTTAATTTATTTTTTGTGAAAAAGTTTGTAGCAGCGATAGAATCAAGAAAAGACCTGGGAGAACATTGGAAGCTGGTCATGAAAGACAAAGACATGCCAGAATATATTCTAGGTATGCTTGATGCAAACACTGACAAGAACCTCAACACTATCAAACAATCTTTTAAAGATTCTAAAGAAAATTTTGAACCAAGACCTAATGTTTCATCCTATGAGGATGATGACATTGGTGTTATTGAAAAGAAGAAATTTGTCAAAGATTTTGAACCAAGACCTAATGTTTCATCCTATGAGGATGATGACATTGGTGTTATTGAAAAGAAGAAATTTGTCAAAGATTTTGAACCAAGACCTAATCTTTCATCCTATGAGAATAATGACATTGGTGTTATTGAAAAGAAGAAAGTTGTTAAAGATTTTGAACCAAGACCTAATGTTTCATCCTATGAAGACAACAATTCCAATAATGCTAAGGAAAATAAAAAAGCCATCAAAGATTTTGAACCAAGACCCAATGTTTCAGCTTATGGAGTATAAGAGACATATTGTAGCATCATTTGTACGTGTACTGTAGCATGTTTTCACTTGAATCTGTAGCTTCAATTGTGTTTTGTAGTATGCTATCATCCGTATCTGTAGGCTATCATCCGTACTTGTTTGTAGCCTATCATGTGTATCTGTGTGTCTTATTGTAAAATAAAGAATTAACTCATTGAGTTAGTTAATTAGTGAGTGAGAATTGTTAGTAGCTGGCATTTATAACCTGTTAAAGCAGGTCATTTATCAAGAAATATGTGTGCACCACTCTAATTGAATTTGAAGTAATAATAAAAAATAGTTTAACAGAATTGTAAATCAATTGTTCACTATCATTTTCTCTAATCAAATATGGTATTTATAATTTTTTTAAAATATAATTATAAAAATAATAAAGGAGTTATATTATTTAAATAACAATAAAATATTAAAATTATTAAAAAGATTAATATCAACGCGATAACGTAAATAAATTATATTTAAAAATATTAATAAATCATGAAAATTATGACTGATTATTAATATTTTCTTCTTAAATATCATTAATAATTTCAAAAATATCAATTTCATCAAATAGATCTCATTCACCTCCACCAATATCTCACATTTCTATTGCTCCTTCATTATAAATCTTATTCTTTTTCGAGAGTCTATTTCTTTTCAATGACTGAATAAATCCATATGTTGTTAAAGCGGTGTAGCGGCAAGCAACAAAAGTTTTGAAAATATTTATCTGGGAATTTATCATGTCTACAGAGATTGGTTATTGAATTGTCATTGGATAAATCTCTCGTTAATGAGTTTGATTTAAATTGGTTTATAAAGAAAATGTTATCAACAGAAAATAAATGTAAACAAAAGAAAAAATTAAGGAAGAACTTATCAAGCCTGCATATAATCTACTCATCACAGACATAAATCTAATATATCATCCTCTTCACTCAATAATCCCAATCTACCCTCTTTTCAAACAAATTTTTTTTTTTGCCACAACACATTCGCCAATTGAATGAGCGGAGCAGTGAGAACTTTTTCCAATCCGCTGAAGTATTGGGCGAAAGCTTTAAAAATTAGAGAGGGTTCGCCCATTGGATGGGCGGAAGAGTGTTAACGTTTTTTTTTTAATTTTAAATTAAATTGCTATAATTAAACAAAATACATTATAATTAAACAAAATACACTATACTTAAATAAAATATACTATAATTAAACAAAAATTTCACTAATTTACTTGAATTAATTTTTTTCATTTTTAAATTATATAATTCCACTATAATTAAACAAAGATTTAATAGAGAAGATACATCTACTATCGATTTTGACCGAGTCGTGTCAATCATTGGTGAGTCCCACAAGCAGGTGCTCGTCTAGTACGTTGGCATGTTCTGCGATTTCCTTTTTCATTTTGTGGTTGAGTTGAAGGTCTCGCGTCACACCAGCCCATTAAAAATTCCTCAATCATGTTCTCATTGGTATAGTCTGTCTCGGCTGCACTGTCATAACTTAATCTGGTTCCCTCCCAATTCCAATTTGGTATGGGATTAGAAGACATTGGGCTATTTATTAAGGGTTGGTAACAATCTTGGGAGGTAAATTATTGTGGCCGGGAAATAGGCATTTGTTGTTGGGGTGTCTGATAGTTGGGATTATGTGGGGTTTGTAGTGTTAATGATGTTTGTGGTAAACTGGTTGATGTTGACTGGGTAAGATGTGAGTATTGTTGTTGGGTTCCCCCATTGAGTAGAGTTAGATGAAGGATATTGTTGTTGGATGCCCCATTGGGTGGGTTTAGATGAAGGATATTGTTGTTGGGTGCGCCATTGGGTGGGGTTAGATGAAGGATATTGTTGTTGGATGCCCCATTGGGTGGGGTTAGATGAAGGGTTTTGTTGATGGTATTGTTGGCTAGGGGTAAAAGGTGGTTGTGTTGGGAAGAAAGGTTGTTGGGTAAAAGATGGTTGTGTCGGGAAGAAATGTTCTTGGTTTCTCATGAATGGTTGTTAGGTGTAAGTTCTTGATGATGGTCTGGTGTGTTGGACGTTTGAAGATGTTGGCAAATTACGAGGGTCAAATAAGAAGTTGTTTGGTGACAGATACAAATTTGTAACAGACTTATACCATTCCATGTATTCCTTACTCGGTTTACATTCTTCTGACATGAAATCTCCTTGTAAGACTTTATCTTCGCAGTTATGCCATTGACGAAGCTCCTGTTTGTAATAATCTTTCCAATTGCTATATGCCCATTGGTCGTTCACCACACTTTTGTGAAACTCCTCCATGCATTGTGGAGCATCTGGTATGCCTTGCATAATGCCAAATTGAAGTTTTACCCGATCAGAATGATGCATTTCAACTGTAGTAAAACAAATGATAAATGTTTTTGAACTCCACACGTGACTATCAGTCGGATCAGTATCATCAAGTCCTAGATAGGGCCTCCATGTAAGCTATTAAAAAATCAGTTTTTAGTTTAACGAACTATATAAAATAATAGTATTTATTAGTAATCTATGGTTAAGAATATTACATCAGCTTGTTCGAAATGATCGATGAAAGTCCGATAGCCAGGTGCACAATGATGAGGAGTCTTTTTATAATCTATCCCATAGGCAGACCATCTAAAAATAAATAATACTTAAATATTGTTCACATAGTAAATAAGTTTAAGACAAAGGAGTAGTTTCAACTTACTTGGTTGCGTACGGAAAGTGAAAAGGATTACGATTCCTAGGCGCTAGATTCGGCATCCTGGACCATCCCCAAGCTTGTAGTAGTGTTGAACAATCAGCAAAATTATGAACATCTTTTCTAGCGCATCTACAGAGGTTTATGTATAGATGCGATAAAACTGTAGATCCCCAGTTGTATCTACCTATTTTATTAAAGTCATCTAATAATGGTAAATACATAAGATGTATTGTGTTACCATTAGTTTCAAGAAACAATAAACTAGCGAAAAGAAATAAAATATAAATTCTAGTTTTCTTATGAATTTGTTCGATGGTGGAATCTTCGTTCAAGTCAAATGCATCATATTTTTCCCGGAGCCAAGTAATATTGACGAATTGACCCTTTCTATCTCTTTCAGGAAATTCTTCACTCAAGAGTTCTTGAGTTATGGAGTAGTCGACATTTTTTCTCCCATTCATTGCCACACCGTTTACACATAAACTCGTCAACGTGTGGACATCTTCAAGGGTGATTGTGGATTCACCGGTAGGAAGATGGAATGTGTGTGTGTTTCCGGCCGTCATCTTTCACATAAAGCGAGAATAAATTTTCTATCAACACCATATGACGTTATGTTGATAACGTGCCCAAGGCCCGCTTGCATCAGATATGGACTGATCATTTCGTCTACGGGCACATACGAGTGTGTACGAGGCCTAAACTTTTTCTCATTCTAAACAAGAAAATAGTTAATATTAGAAGATGGTTAATGTCAGAAGTATATTCTAAAATTTTTAAAAAACTTTATAAGTAAATATATTCAATACTTACATATTGGAGTATGTTTGACAATGTTCCTCGATGCTCCTCTCTATAAGTTAACAGAGACATTATGGAAAATTGAGTTTGGTGTAGAATTATGATGAGAAAGAGTGGATAAAGATTGAGTTTGATGTAAATTATGAAAAAATGAATAGTATTTATTGAGAAAAAATGAATGGTTTTATGCAAAATATTTAACGGAAACAAGTAAATGGTTGGGAGAAATAAATTTGCCATGCATGCTTTATACGTAGACTGTGTTGCATGCACAACTTTACAGAATCCGCACCCTCAATGGGCGGAACCATTGTCTTTTTCTGACACGCCGCTGATGCTTTGGGAGGATGTGTTGCTTTTTGGTCTGCCATCCGCGTAAACAATGGGCAGAAGAGTGTTATTTGACTTGCCAACGACGCAAGTGCATTGGGCGGAGCCCTTACCCACATAAATGCTTCCGCCTTCTCATTGGGCGGAACCTTTACACACATAAATGCTTCTGCATCTGTAATGGGCGGATGTGTTGCTTTTGTCAGTTTGACCATTGACCAGTCAATATTCCTACGAATAAATATTATTATATATTTACAAAAGACAAAATATATATCATTTAAATGCAGCTCTTGTTCCTACAATTTTTCATCAACTCAACCCATTTAAAAATATTTCACAAAGAAATTATCATGTCTCAAACACCTCAATATATAGTGGATGCTCATTACAATGGAGAGATCCTTGTCTCTGATGATATGGGCATTATATTCGAAAATACTAATATATACCAGTTCAAATTAAGTAGAAATACGAAGTTCCAATATTTGAGAGAGAGGGTACAAACAAGGATGCAATCTGGAGCTGTCTCACAAATTATATATCGAAATGTTGTTAATTTTGGTGTGAAACAGGTGAAATATGTTCCATTGAAAATCCGAGATGATGATGATGTGGAAACAATGTTTTACAATCATGAATTATCTGGGTTACATGCGATAGATTTATACATAACATTTCAACTTTGCCAACAATCTCAAATCTCACAAGTGGCCAATCCCACTGATGCTGAGCCCGTCTCCATAATTCCCAACGAAATCATTATCGAAGATGACGAAGAAGAAGAGACTGAGTCACAAGCTGATGATTTATTCACTACCTTATTCGAAGATGGTGGCCGTGACGAGGCGGATGCAATCAACGAAACTGAACAACACATTCCACTTGAGAATGTCTATTGTCCACCTTCCCACATGACCACTCTGGGAACAACTGGAGACGAATCATCATTTGAATGGCCACATAATCCTCGTCTTCCGCTGGAGGATGACATAGTTGTTGGGAACCAGTTCAAAAACAAATCTGAATGTGTGTTTGCGATATCCAAGTATCATATGAAACATGTCGTTGATTTCAGGGTTACATGTTCTGACACGAAGAGATATAAAATTTGTTGTAAGCGTAGTGGTTGCAACTTTCGTCTAGTGGCATCCTATAGGAAAAGGAGCGACCTATGG